ATGAGGGCTGTTGGAGAGAGCATCTTGACATTTAATTGTTCCCAATATAATGAGGCATTGCCTGCTTAGAATGCCTCCTACAGGTCAAATGGTCTTTATTGGGAAAGCTACCTCTGCCCCTCACCAGGATTGGTGTGTCCTCTGTGGCCGGGGCTCCCCGCGGAAGGTGTGGTCCAGGAAGGCTTCTCTGAGGAAGAGGCATTTAGGCTGAGATCTGGAGAGGGAAGAGCTGGGGTGGAGTTTGCAGTGGGAGCAACAATGCAGGGGGCTGGGACGAGCAGGAGGGAGAGGCTGAGGCATGCGGGGCCTTGTCTGAAGACCAGAGTGAGACATCTAGGGCTGGGCAAGGGGTGGTCACCCTACAGGCGGGCCCTCCACTCTTCTCACGCCACCACCACTGCCTTGCTACAGCCGACAGCCAAACACATTCGCCGTACCCTACCCGCCTCTGCACCAGGGGTTTCATATTCACGGTCCCATGTCAGCCAACAACCCTATGAGGATAGGGTACGAGTATCTGTGTCCATTTTACAGATGAGGAAGCTGAGGCACTAGGAAGTCAGGGTCACACCACTAGCCAAGACAGAACCAGGATTCAAAACCCAGTGTCAGCAGATCTTCCGATGGAAAAGCTTCTTCCAGCCCAGGCCACCCTGGGCCTTCCATCCAACATGGTTTCATTTCCATGGAACTCTGGGAGGTCCGGTTGGAGTGCCTGGAGGCTCTTGGGTGATTCTGGAGCCTAAGGAAGGGACAGGAGGCCTAGGCAACTGTGGGAGGTAAGGGGGGGCCACTGGGGGCTGGGCCACCTGGGTGGGGAACGTGGGCGGGGGTGGGGTCCGGTGGCTTGGCGGCTGCAGTGAGCACGGGGGCTCTGGGAGGAAAGAGGGGCGCTGCGGGATTAGAAACAACCTGCTCGGAGGCCAGGCTTGGGGGCCGATGGGGTAGAGGACCCCGCCTGACCTCACCGCATCTCACTCCTGGGGGCTGTGAGTGGATGGTCCTCAGATCCGCGTTTTCCTCCTGAAAACATGTCACCATTCCAGCTGCTTCCTCCCAGAGGCTGGCAGTGAAGCAGATGAGTCACAGGGGCAAGGTATCCGTGCAGAGCACACCAATCCGGGGTTTCTAGACTCCTCCTTTTCCCTGAAGGTGCTGGGCTGCGGGGACTGGAGGCATGGGGATTGGAGGAGGAGCCCTTCACACAAGGCAACATTTCACATCGATCCCCTCGTAACTTTTCAGACTTCAAGCCATGAGGAATTGTGTCCTTAGGGATATTCAACCTCCGGCATCCTGTCAGCTGAAGTCTGGGTGACGCTGAGCTCGGCAAAATGACAAACAGTGCGTACATCTGCGTGCGGACGTGTAAGTGTATGTGTCTGTCTGTTTACACACATACCTACTTCCCCTCCCCTCCCCTCCCCACTTGGCTTCCTCACTGCCCTCAGAGCTGGAGCTCAAATCCCTCCTGAGCGGAGGGAAATCCGGCTGTCGTGGTTTCCAGAAAGGGAACGCGATCTCCGTATGGGGTGTAATTACATCTTAGCTTTCTGCAGAAGAATAGTTTACGGTTTAAATGCTATTAATTGTAAGCTGTTTTGTTCCACGGGAAGTTGTTCGTTGATAACTACCCAATTAGGGTTATTTTGCAATTAGTCTATTCACAGAGAATTTATTGCAAAAGGGGAAGGCTGTGGTGCAGTAAATGAAGGCACTGCCCGGGCTGGTGTGCCAAGGCTCAGACGCCCATCTTATCACCCAGCTCCCAGCTCCCTGGAGGGTGTGCCACTTTGGCGGACGCAGCAGAGGCCACAGGGAATCCCCCAGGCTGCACAGCCATGCTGGAGGTGTCTCAGCGGGACCAGGACAGGCCACATCAGCCCACTCGCTCCCCCATCAACACCCACCCTTCTCCTTGCAACTGTACTGATGGCGGAGAGAGACAGCCTGCGGGCTCGGGACATCCCCAAGCTCGGACCGTTGAGGCTAAAGTGAAACCTTCTGCCTCCTGAAGAGGGAAAGGCTCTTGGGAGGACTCAGGCTCTGTATTCCTGAGATACGATACCAGCCCTGCCATCTACTAGCCATGCACCTGTGACCAAGGACTAAACCTCGTTGAGCCCCCATTTCATCATCCCTTAAACGGGTCGATGAGAGACCGACCTCATAGGGCTGGTGTGAGGATACAGTGGGATGGGAGGCACAGTGCTGGAGGTATTACTACACAGAACTGGTACCTTGCGGGGATCAGCACACTATGGCCCATGGGCCACATCCCACCCACAGCCTGTTTTTGTAAATTGAGTTTTATTGGAATAACCAAGTGCATTTGCGTATCTATCGTCCTGGCTGTTTTTGAGATATAATGGCAGAGTTGAGGAGTTGCGACAGAGACGGCACAGCCTACAAAGCCTCAAATATTTACTCGGGCCCTTTACAGAAAGAGTGTGTTGACCCTTGGTACACAGCGAGGACCCACTGTCATTCTCATGGAAAGACATTCAGCTCAGGCCTCTGCCGGGCCATGCACTGGCTAAGAAAAAGACTTTGGAAACATCTCCACTTATTTATTCTGCCACAATCTGCCAAGTCGTGTCAAGAGTATGATGGGGACCCCGGGACTGCTTAGACAAGGTTTAAAATGCAAGAGAGAAGCAAACCTTTTCTTTTTAGACCTTGCTATTGAAAAGAGAGTATAGTACAGATACATGTTTCCAACAGAAAACTTAAAAAATACAGATGAACTTGAGTAATGAGTTGAAGCTGTCCCCACTGCACCCCACCCAGAGGGCCACGTGAAGGGCTTGCCGTGGACACCTCCAAGCCTCTTTACACACTTACCCACGTGGCCATCCCCCACCTGAGCCACACCCTCCGTTCTGTGACCAGCGGTCAACAGAGAAGCATGTGTGAGAGATGAGGAGGCCTGAATTTTAGCCCAAGTTCAGCCTCTAACTGATTAGGTGACCTTGTTGATAAGTCTCCCCTCCTCTATGGACCTCGTTTCTTACCTGTCCAGTGGAGAGACGGAATTAGGATTTCTCTAGGGGTGATCTAGTCCCCTTTTCCTTGGGAGCCATTCTTACCATGCACATCCTTCTCTCGAGAGAGATGGGGGATTGAGGAAGCACTAGGCATCTTCCTGCCTGGCTTCCAAATCCTCCAATGTTGGGGGAACTGAGAGCCCCCTGCCCCCACCCTACCTCTTGGTCCAGCTCTGTTGTCACCTTTCCTGATGCTCTGACCTTCTGTCTCGACAAAGAGGCGGCCCCAGCCGCTGGGACCATGGACCCATTCCTCTTCCACGCGTGGACCCTGTCCCTGCCCCATGCAAGTCTTTCCACGTGTCCTCCCCCAACCCCTGCCCTCAGGACCTCTGGGTTGTCCCATGGTCGGGGACCTTCTCTCTCCACCTGAGAGTGAACTAGAGCATTTGGTAGTATCTGAATTTAGAAGCAACAAGGAGGTATTTTGAACGCTTGACCATTTAGTGAGGGATAGCGGGGTACCCCTTGCACTGATTATGGCCGATGAGAATGAAGGGTGACCAAGAGCAAATTGGGAAACGGGCCGCAAGGGAAGACCAGGTGGGAAGACCCTTCGAGCATTTAATGCAGGGCACTCCCTGGACAGATAAGGAAGATGGAACCAGCGAGCGGAAAGGGCTTTTCCTATCAGTTCATGGCTGAACTCAACTAGAACACAATCTCTCCATTTCAAATGCATCCCTCCCTGTCTGTTCCCAATGACACTGGCTCTTTCTTTGTAGAAAGTGTCTTTTGGATGCAGTCCGCCCTCTGCACCTGCATGGAGAAAACCACTGGACGAACTAATTCACAAACTATTTGGGATGTAACGTCTTCTGCAAGGAAAAATAAAATCTACTGGCTTACAATGAGCTTATGTGGGGACGAGGGTACATGGGTGAAACAGTAGTGACCACCACGAGTTAACTGTAGCCAGATGATGGGAACATGAAGGTTCTCCCTACTCTGAGGTGGGTTTGAAATTTTCTGCCATAACATATTTCTTTTTTTTAAGAAGGGATCTTGACAAAATATGACCTAACCCAGGATGGCAATATCTCTATCTCAGGATGTCTCTACCCGCAGGCTTGTAAGGCCACTTACAAGCCACGTGACCTTAGGGAAGTCGTTTTACGTCTCTCACGTGTAAAAAAGTTATGCTCACGATGACGGTGCTAGCCTCACTGGGCGGTGGGTGAGATGAGCTGATTGAATGCAAAGTGCCCGTGCTGTGCCCGGGACACAGTGAGCACTTGGTAATTGTTATTACCCCCCTTTCACACGCACTGGAAAAGGTGAAACCTGCCAGCAAGGAATACGTGTCAGAGGCGTGAGGTGAGATGCAGAGATGCACGGTGATGCCTCACCTGTGCAAAACTGTCCCCCCCCCAGTTTCTGAGGACCCTCCCCTGTGCTTGTGAACGCCGCTGTTACAGCTCTGACTCGCACTGCATCGCAGCAAGAGGTCTGATTTATCACTGGTCATCAGCACAGAGAATAGGGCCCAGCACAGGGCAGGAGGGAGGGAGGGAGAGAGAGGACGGGAAGGAGGGAGAAAATAAGGAAGGAAGGAATTTTAGGCGGAGGAAGATGGGAAGGATGTTTTCCAGAGCCTCCAATGTCAATGCAACCAACTAGAAACCTTTCAAATCTTATTCAATTACAGTAACATTGGTGTCAATTTTAATCCCAATATTCTGCTGAGACAGAAAACAAACCATATCAATACCATTGCCTCCTACGACTTCCACATTAGCCCCGATTGCACTGTATTTTATCCTTGGCCACCAAAGCAACAGGTTAAAGCTGTAACAAAAGGTAATTTGATTTTGCGAAACTCTTCTCACACGAGACTTCTGAATTCAGGGAGGCCCAAAACAAAAGATCTCCTGTCTTCATCTGGGGTTTGAAAACTAGGGCGGTTATTCTGAGAAGGTCTGAGAATGTGAGCAGAACGGGGCTGGGACTTACCTTCGAGGGGGCAGAACCGAGTGACCTTCTCGGGCATCAGCAGCCCAAGCTTGTGGCGGCAGTAGGTCTCCCCGATCTCCTGGCGGCAGTGCTTGGACTTGGAGCGGGACAGGGCGGAGATGGCCTCCTTACCCGAGATGTCACACTTGAGGGGCCGGTCAGACTTGATCTCGGGGGAGCTGCCCCCACTCTTCCGGGCGTGGGGCTGTCTGGGGGCATCCTTCCCTCGGCTGCCGTTGACCGGGGCTCTCGCACCAGGAGGCAGCACCTCGTTGGCGCCTTTTCCTGGGGACAGATGCCCCTGCCCCTTCTCCTCCTGCCCCAGCTTCCTCTTCAGAAGCTCCTTCTGTCCTCTCGGGGGCTTCTTCGTCAACTCGGGCTGGTGCTTTTGCTTTTGAGTCCTGGGTGCGAAGTTGCTGTTGTCCACGTTCTCAAAATCCTTGGGTACAGAGTTCTCATTGTTGCTGTCTGTTCGCACTTTCTCTTTTGGCCGGTGAGAGAAGTAGCCGTCCTGGAGAAGACAGGAAGGAAACACAGAAGAGAAACTTGACTTTGCCATCACGCTAAGCAGGCCCTGGAGGGTGGGGCACGTAGGCTTGGAAGTCTGGGCCCTGGTTCCACGCCCTGCCTTTGCTACGAGCTTAATGTTAGACCTCATGTTAGGTTTTTCTCTTTGAACCTCAGTTTCCCAACCTGGAAATAGAAGATGTTCCAACTAGAAAATAAAGCTTTTGCAAGCTCTAACGTGCTACGACTATGATCCTCAATGCTTGTTATTAACCACACCCCCTTTTCATATAAGTCTCCTTGGTTGTCTCTGCTACTGGAATCTGGACAGTTTGTTCCAAGCTTCCTGTTTAAATTCTAGCAGCAAGCACTGTGATGGTTTATTTAATGGCTAGAAATGCCATAATAAAGCTCTAAGGGGAGAAAATATTGGTAGGATAGTACATAATTTACATTGCCTTTAGGACATGCTCGTAGATCTATGCCCGTAGGAGAAATCAGACCGTGCCACAGTGAATTCTGAGGGGGAGGCATCACCGGCTATCTTGAGGGGAATATGCCCTTTATAGGACAATCCTATGCAAGGATCCTACAGTGAGTCCCAGGGGGATGAAAACTTGTGACAGTCTTATGTTTGGGCTTTGACTCTTGATGTCTGTACCTACAGCAGAACTGATTAAGTCACGGGGTGGGGGGGCAGGGTGTCAAGAGAAAGGCCAAGAATCATTCTGGAGAAAATGAGTCTTTCTGGGAAGGCGGGCACCCCAAACTCAGCTTCTCCATGGGTAGGTGGGCCCTGGCCATTTTGACCTTGGATCAAATGCACTGGTCAACTACCATCCTGCATCACTTCCAAAACACATTGCTTCTGCTTAGAGCCCATTATCAAGGCCTTAACCTGAAAGAGAATCCACTGTCCCAAAGCTAGTCAGAGGGGACACAGAGGCCACAGAGAACGCTAATTGACTCCATAAATCTACACCCATTGCTCTAGAAACACACTGGCAATGAGTAGCAATTCTGAGGGCAGACATCCTCGTTCGTTTTCCTAAATGTGCCGATTAAAGGTTCTCAAGGAAGAGGGTGGTGGAGAGCAGTGGAGGTAGTGCTGGTGCCCAGGATCGGCTGACGTGCAGCTGACACTGAGCGTGGCTCCTCCTTCAGCAGGTCTGCAAACTACTGCCCTCCCCGAACCAAATCCTGCCCGCCATTTGTTTCTGTAAATAAAGTTTTATTGAAACACAGCCACGCCTGTTCATTTATGGACTGTCTATGGCTGCTTCCCTGCTACAACAGCAGAGGTGAGTGGTTGCCATAGAGACTGGTCTGCAAAGCTTAAAATATTTCTAGCTGGCCCTTTAAGAAAAAGTGTGCAGACCCCAGCTCTCCAAGAACTGTGAGTTTAGAAGGTTCCCCGGGCTTGGTTTGACTGCCCTTGTCTCCAACGTCCCCATTTGGCCCAGCAACGTGTCTGCCCTCTTCTTGCCTTTGTCCCATCTCCCCTAGCATCAAGCACCAATTTCAAGAAGCTGTAAGAATGAAGACTACACTGAGATACCTCGTGGCCATTCTGTAAGTTGATGTTACTTTTATTCTCATTTTGCAGGTACTGGGCATCAGTGACTTATCCAAGGTAACTCAGCTGGTTGGTGGTGAAGCTGGGATTCAAGCCAGATAGACTGCAGACCCCATGCCCTAGGCTACCAGCTCCACCAGCCACTTCCAGGAAGCCGCAGAGCCCTTCTGATCCCCATCACTCTGTCCCCTTAAGCACTGCAGCCTGGCTCCCTTCCCATCCACTCCCACCCAGCTAAATGGATCTGGGATAGGCATGTCATCTCCAAATAGCCGTGTCAAGGCTGGTCAGTGGCCATTAGGTGGCAGGGAGTCACAGAGAGGGAGAGGACAGTAAGGAGGGGCCGCGAAGCACCAGGAGCTTGAGGTGGCAGGAGCTGAGAGGCAATGGGTAGGAAGAAGGAAACAAGGAGAGGCCGAGGGAGAGTGGAGTCTGTGACGGGTCCTGGAGTGGCTACTGGTCATACGCAGCAGCTGCTATTACATGCTGGTCTGTGAAGGGGAACTTCTGGTTCTGACACCCGTTTCCAGTCTTTCTTACCTCTCCATGTATCTTGCAATAAATCCCCCTCAGTGAGGGGCCATTCCTCTGTTCTTATAAACAAACCACACTGATATTCCTCTTTTCCCTTCTTTCTGTCCAGAGGCCCTTGAAGAATCCCAAGCAGCCTCTCAGATGCATTTTCTGAGCACTCGCTGTCAGCAGGCACCATATGCAAGCGACGCACAGGTATCACTTACTGGACACCAACAGTCGTCCCATGAGGGGTACCCTCCTCACTATTTCACAGAAAGAGGCGCCAAGGCTCGTTGCTTTAACACTCTCAGGCATGGGCACGTGTCAAGTGCCAGGCACTGTGCCAAGCCCTTCCATGTTTAACCTTCAGAAGTAACTTTCAAGACAGGTATTACCATTCCCCCATCTTACAAAAGAGGGACAAGGGGGACTTGGGGATGTTCAGTGATTTGCCCGACATCATTTAGGGGAGGCTGTGAACGCGCACCCGTTTAATTCTAAAACTTGCTATAGTTTCGTGCCTCTTCTGTTTGGCTGAGAGGTCAAGGGAGGAGCATTTAGCCCCCCTTCTCTGTGGGGGAATGGATGGGGTATCTCTCTCTTTGCTCATATTAGCCTAGGTTGGGATGGAGCTGGATGGGGGGATGGTATTCAATAAAGCCCTTGACAAATATTCCAGTTCTCTTCCTTCCAGGCACAGGATACAGTTGTACTTCCCATCCCCTGCAAATGAGGCACAGCCAATCAACCTGCCGTGGCCAAGACCAGTGACTCGGGCCAGGGCACAGTTTGCCATGTCCCTCCTTCCCCCATAGCATCCAGCCACACTCCTGATGGTGAAGGCCCTGCATTCCTGAGTGAGGCCAGGGTGGAGGATAGACTCCACCAACCCTCCAGGGGCAGAATAAACCTCTGCTGCTGTCACTGAGGTTTGGGGATCTTTGTTACCGCAGCATAGTCTAGCTCATCCTGATTAATACAGGAGCCAACATGATCTGCTTTCTTCCTCTTAGCTGCCCTCAGATACAGGAGCCAGTTTATTATCATTCTTTGCCTCTAACGGTTGGAAAATCAGTTCGATGAGTCCTGCTGCCTGAGAACAAGAATTTAAATTCTGTCCCTAAGCCCGTTTTCTAGAAGTTAACAAGAAGGCAGAGAGTTGAGCAGAAAGGCCTCTGCCCTCACAGCCATCTGCATCCTCTCTCATCAAACACATCCTCAGTACTGTTCCTGGGTTGTTCTCTTTCCTCATCACGAACTGATGATCACCAGTTTGTCCCCCAAGCAGAAAACCTCCATAAAACCACTAATTTCAAAAGCTCACGTTCTCTACCACCTTCTGGCAGAAGTTCTCCAAGCAACACCAGTTGCAGGAAGCACTGCAATCAACGAAGCTAATGTGGCCATCAGAGAACGGCTGGCTCCTCTGGTTAATTTGTGATATCAGGACCAGGCTCCACCATCAATTCTAACAGGACTCCTGATTAATAAGCGTTGTCTACTTAAAGACACCCCCGCGATGGGGATGGTGAGCTCATGGTGGCCCCTTGGCCTTCCGCCTGGCCCCAGCTGCTACTCCGCTGCCAATCAAAAGATTCGAGTGTAAGAGAAAAGGGCAATATTTTGTCTTCTGGAATGAAGAGCTCATAGATATTCGGTAGCTTCCAGAAAAGCCACTGAGCCACAGTCAGTGAGAACCAGGCATCACCCAGAGGCCTGGGATGATCTGTCACGCTGAGTCAGGGTTGCTTCCTACAATAGCTGATGAGTTCTCTTACACCTTCCCTCCACAGTTTTCTTTCTTTTCTTGTACATTTTATTTTATCGTGGCAAGAACACGTAACATGAGCTCTACCCTCTTAACAAACGTTTTAAGTGCACAATACAGTATTGCTACCTACAGACACAAGGTAGTACAGCATATCTCTAAAATGTATTCATCCTGCGTAAGTGAGACTTTATGCCTGTTGCTTAGCAATTCCTCATTTCCCCTCCCCCAACCCCTGGCAACCACCATTCTACTCTCTGAATTTCTGAGTTTGGCTATTTTAGATTCTCATGTAAGTGGATCAAGCAGCGTTTGTCTTTGTCTGTCTGGCTTATTTCACTCAGCATCACACCCTCCGGGTTCATCCATGGCATCACATACGGCAGGATTTCCTTCTTTTTCAAGACTGAATAATATTCCATTGTACGTCTATGTCACGTTTTCTTTATCCATCCATCCCTCGATGGGCATGAGATATCACCTTACCTTCCCTCTAACTCTTCACCTGCTCGCCAAGAGGCAAACGGGTCTCAGCTTTTCTCTTCTTCCCCTGGAGAATCAAGATCCAGACATCCAAACCCAGGCTCCCTTCCCTGTAAAAACCAACCTTGGGAGGTTTCCAGGCAAATACATGCAAGATGACTATCATATCCTCAGCACCCATGTCCCCTCATACTCTGGCCCTTCACACACCTTGTGTCTCTAATCCTCTCGAGTGCCCAGTGAAGCAACAGCATGAGTCCTAATGAAGGGGAGGAAAGTAAGGCACAGGGAGGTTAAATAACCTGACCAAGGAATGAATGTGATGCTAGAAATGACATGATTCAAATTCTGCATGCCTCAGTTTCCTCATCTGGAAAATGGGGGTGTGAAAATAATACTTATGTCATGGGTATTTGGTGAGGATGAATGTATGTCAAAACGTCCAGAATGTGCCCACCACACCCAAAGCAGGAGAAACAATGAGCAAAGAAGTTTCCCTACTAATCAACACTGGGCCTCCACCACCTCACCCCTGATGGTCTCCACCTGGAGGACAGATCAGTTAGTATTTCTTCATTACGATCGCTAGCTGTGTCCCCTTTATTCTTAAGCAACCCAACACTCTCACCTTGGGTTATTTATGCAAATGCAACCCTTCGAC